GCAGCACGATAGGCGGGATATTGCGACCTATCAGACCTCTAATATTGAAAGGGGAGAGATTTCTGTGGCCAACATAGTTCGAAGAGGGAGCAGTCGCCAACACCTCCATATCTCTTCCGCTAGTTAACGCTCAAACAAGGATATGTCTTTTCTGCAGGGCTATTCCTCGGCGACTGTGGTCGTCTGCGCTATAAGCCCGAATTACATATTTCACTTTCCAATTCCCCAACTTATTGCTACATACTTCAAAATAGGTATTTATATCTGTTTTTTTGGAAATGAGTTTCTCGTTAAAACTCCAATACTCTGGTAAAAGTGGTGTGCTCAGCAGAGTAACCAAATAAAGTGCTGTTATCGGACATGTTGAAACAGTTAAACTCACTCCGCCTTCCATGCATGGGCCTTTGTCCGTACTGCATGAGCAGTCCTCTCGTTCCCATCCTTCCTCACATCTAAAAACCATATTCGAATACTTGTTTTGCCATGGTATATGGGTTATTGATTAGATAAACACGTAGTAACAGGGTGTATATCGCTAGTCCCATCGCAGTACCGCGCGTAACACAGCAGAGCATTTCCTAGCTGACTCAGGCGTTCATACGCGACAGCGGCAGCCAGCGTCCACCGTAGTTCCGACAGCGTCAACGGCTAGGAAAGTATAGATATCGGTCCAGCGTCCCTCGGCGTCTGTCGGCGGTCACCAGTGACTGTAAGTAGGGAATATGGGGAAGTAGGAGGGTAGCAGACAGCTGGATTAGGCGTCGTGAAATTGTGGCGCTTGACCGCACCGTACAACTATACTCACCCGTACATAGAATTGGATAATGCTAAAGCAGTTGTGCAGTGCGGTTGCACACGCCGCAATTTCACGACGCCTAATGCAGCTGTTTGCTATGTTTGCTACCCCCCTCCCCATACCCATTACTTCTCCATCCCCTCTACTCGCGGTCGCTGGTAAACCCTGGTGGACGCTGGTAGACATTAGATCGATATCTATAATTTTCCTGACGCTGCCGGACTTTCGAAACGTTAGTGCTCGCTGGTGGGCGCTTTAGACGTTAGTGGACGCTGCCGCAAAGTATGAACTCAGTCTGACTTGACACAACAGCAGTGCCACCTGGAATAGATTGGGTCCTGGTGCGAATGCTGTACACGCGACCGCACTTATAACGCCTCTTCCGCCTCCACTCGCGACCAATTTAGAGTGTACAGCGTCACTTACCAGCCCCATCGCCCCTCCCCTCTTCCCCTAGCAGAGTACTTCCTATCTAGTTGACTAGACAGACCCAGGTCCAGGGAGAGACAGAGAGCTTTTGCCACGATCAGGAAGTTACGCTCCACACCCTAAGATGTGGAGCGTAACTTCCTGATCGCCTAAGATGTACCCCCCCCCCTAAGACCCTAAGATGTACACTTGCGGTACTACAACTGTTGGACGCGGCCCTCATTACTTCTAGAGGGGGGGGATAAGCTATGCCTTGCTCCGCCTTCCCTTCTAAACTTGGACCATTTAATTCTGATTTGCTGTACCTATTTGATTTGTTCCATTCAACAGAATATTTACAATTTTTTTATACTGAATTATCACTTTTGTATAGTTCACCCA